TTTCTCTCTCTCTCTCTCTCTCTCTCTCTCTCTCTCTCTCTATTTATTTATCTATCTATCTGCATGTATCTCTCCTTCTTTCCCCATCCTCCTAAACAAAAGACCCAGATGGGTCCCAATGCGACAACAGAATTGCACACGTCTCAAGCAATCTCTCCCCTTTGATACAGGTCTAAATACTTTACCCGGTTACTGTTTCCATCCTTGTAAACATGTCGCCATTTGTTTAATGTAGGGTGGGACTTTATCTGTGGTAGAGGAGCGAAACCCAGAGGTTCTAAGCTCAGAATGAGCAGGATGTGCGCGTGTGCTCCTTATGTGCTCATTGCAGGTGCGTGTGTCTTTTCAGTGTGGAATAGGAGGATTCCATTAATTGTATTGAGAAGTTCGTGCCCTGATAAGCTTCCCAGATTCATCATTTTGGGAAGTCTATAAGGCTCCCCATTCATATGGCGTTGTCCTATCGGAAATGGTCCTTAAATTTGGGGGTTTAGTCTCTTGAATAACCGTACATTGTTGAAATGTTAAATATATCTATACACCAGCAGCAACTGAAATACAGGCGACTCTTGTTAGAATCTTTAACAACATGAATTTAAGTTAAATTGCCAGAGTTTTTTGTTTGTTTGTTGTTTTTTAAGGCGTGTTTTCCCTTCGTTCTGACTACAGGTATTGTAATGATGTCGTCGATGCAGAACTGAAGATTGGGGGAAAAAAACTGGCGTCCTAAAAGGCTAACTTTGTTGAAAGACTGACTATCCCCAGACGATTTAATTCACTTTTTACACTGTTGAGTGAATATTTCTGAAAATGCTGGCCTGGTTGTTGTTCTTGTCCTGAAATACTTCTTTCTGCAATAGCAGCAACGGATTTTTTTTCCAACGTGAAATTGGCGTTGTACAAATGTTGTCATGTTGACATGTGACAAACAAAAATACCGACCCCTGTGGTGTCGCGCTTAGGTGTACACAGAAGACCCGAGTTCGATTCCTGGGCGGGGAGAATCACGACCTTTCTGCTGGGATGGTGTATTCCTCAAAGCCTGACTTGTTCCTGCTATGCAGAGTCGAAGTCCATCTCTAATTGATCTAAATGATGGCAATTGTTGCGTTAAAAACACCTACAATTTTTTTTTAAAGACAACAACCTGACATAATATGTGGCGTAGGGCAAGCCCATGTGACAGAATAATTGGTCGCTTTTAAAGACTAGCGGGCAAACCCAGATTTCGGGGGTTTCCAGAAATCTTGACCTACACCAAAAGCGAGCATTGCCCTACCTATAGGAGAGGTTCGGTTTCTTTGGTTATAATATGTGTTTGGTTACAGAGAAAACTCTCCTTGACTTTTAAAGAAACTGAACAAGGGGCGAAAACTTTTCCTTCGATTTTCTCAAAACAGCCTAAAAGCGACCAATTAAAAACACGCTATTGCAACACCTGTTTACAGTACAGGTGGGGGAACCACACTTTACAGGTCGCACGCAGGAGACCCGAGTTCGATTCCCTAGTGTGGAGAGTTTTTAATTGAGTATCTCAGTACTGCGGGGCTATTGTACCCCTCTCTGCGTGGGTTGGTCCTGACAGGCAGGGTCGGAAGCCTGTTTCGTAAATTATCTAAATTGTGTTGATGCGGGCGTACAAAAACTTACATTAAAAGAAAACAGTGTGCTCTGATGGTATCAGACTGAACTGTGATGCAGATAGCTCTGGTTCAAATCTCGAACAGGGTGGTCTTGCACTTGGCTGAATGGGAGTGTCCACAGCCCTTCGCCGACTCGGCTCAGTCCTACCACAGATTACAGATGAACATTCAATAGTAGGTCCTGGCTATAAGATAACCCATCAGAGATGAGCCTGTGCGTATCAGTACGCTAATCCTGACCCATATTATACTAGCACTGAATGACGTTGTTGTGTCGATGTGTTTCTCTCAGTACTTATATATTGCGTGTGGTTGGAGGGTGCCACTGGCAGGTTTTACTTCTTTTCTTTCCCTCTGTTGTTTCTGTCTATCCGCATTGCTTCTTTCCTGCACTGTGGGTGGTTGGCGGGTGCTCTGGTGTGGTTTGCTGCTTCTTTCCTGTGAAACATACGTCATCCTTATCTCCCCTTCTTCTTTTTTATGTTTGTTACTCTCTTGTAACACCTCTAATCTTCT